ACTCAGTGTGTGTGTATATATATATATATATAGTGTTGTAATTTAGATATAATTTTCACGTCAGATTTTGTAGTAATTTCGAGGTGTAGGTTATAAATACGAGAGACATTGAAGCATAGAATTGTTTCTAGTCATTAGTGAATCAATAAGATAGTGGTTTTGTTTCAACTAGCAGTAAATCAATCCGGGTTTTTGTTTTCAATTAGTGGATAAAGCATTGATGAAGTTGTACAAGTAAATTTATTTTTACGTTAGTGTATTACAGTTAGCATGGCTGTAAACATGGCCCACAAGCTACCACAGTGCTTAAGCTTGTAGAAACGTAAAAGGAGGAAATAAACTAATCTGTTATCGTTACGTGGACTGGACTTTGAATTATTTTCACCAGATTATTTAAAAGCACGTGCAAACGAAAGACCTACGTTACCCGAATTTAATACCCCCTCAGTGGCACAGCGGTATGTCTGCAGACTTACAACGCTAGAGTCCGGGTTTCGATACCCGTGGTGGGCAGAGCACAGATAGCCCATTGTGTAGCTTTGTGCTTAATTACAAACAAACAAAACCTTTTATATACATTAAAATAGCTGAACCAGGATAAAAATTAAATTAAACTTAAGATTTAGCTGAAAATAATCCAACATTTCTTATAGTGCTGCATTAAAGTCTTGTGAGTTTAATGGAATTTTTATGTGATTCGTATTGTTTCTTTCATCCCAACGTAGACGTTTTTCAATGAATCGTATTTGGTAACTCAACGACTTCAGATTTTCTAGGCAACAAATTTATAGTCAAAATGATATTTTGTCGTACGTAACAGTTTATTTGTGTGTGTGTGTCTGTAAATACCTCTGCTTATTAATATAGAACATAAATGTTAAGATAATCTTATGGAAATCGGTATAGTATTCCCTCTAAAAATAACACTCCTGCTCCATCACAGTGGCTCAGCGTTAAGAATGTGGGCTTCTAACGCTAAAAATCGGATGACGATAGCCACGTTGGGTACAGCACACAGATATCCATTGTGTAGTTTTGCGTTTAATAACAAAATGAAAAACTACTCCTGCCATCTATTAACAGTTTAATTTACTATGTAAAAAACATCATAAACAAAAACAACGTTGTCATTGACCTGCACTTTCTCTCACAATGATTTTCGAGATCATTCACAATTTACGATATGATAAAAATTTCGTTGCATATATTAGTCAAATAACTTAGATAATAGACATAATTATATGTGTGGGTGTTTTACACTTCAAATATTCATAACTAGTGTTAAGTCTGCTTTCGCGTAAAGCTACGCAATCGGCAAGATTTTCAGTCGTGAAGTATATTCAGATCACATAGCAACCTGGGGGAATTTTAGTCTCTTTTAAATCCAAGTTAATTTGTTCAAAAAATTGGAATTCTCAACATGAATTGCGTCTTATGCGCACGTGGGATAAATGGCTAGGTCAAAGACCCCCTAGGATTTGATTACAGACATCCTTAATTTTAAATAATTTTAATCCAGCTAGCAACAACCTCCGCAACAAGGGCTTTGTAGAGATTTTAGGACCGAATAATGAGATTGGATACGTTATAAAAGTGACAGTCACAGTTGTAAGTACGGAGAATGTTCAACGGGATAACGTCTCGAATTTTGGATCATTAATATGTAGCCCGATACACTAATCATTAAATTACATTAGGCCTCATTTTAGCAACTGAATAGCTCTCTACTCCGCCCGTCCCTAATTTTGAACTGATAAATTAGTGGGAAGGCAGCTATTCTACGCCAACCATCGCCAACTCTTGTCTGACTGAATAGTATAATTTGACCATCATTCTTATAACGTATCCACTTCCCAAAATGCGGAGAACGATTTTTGTTTGTTTGTTTGTTTGTCTGTTTTGCGGTAACGGGTCGAGATCGCTAGACTCGCAGATACAGTGCCTCACGCTAACCACTGAGCCACGTTATTTCAGTAATAATCACATATACAGGGTGGGCCAAAAGTAGGGTTACAGTTACTCTATTATTTGTTTCTCCTTCACAATCACGTAGGGTGTAGTCAAGAACAAGGTTTATGAGAGAAATCACCACACAGT